AGCGGACACTCCAGTAAACAACAACGCGTCCCTCCCATTCCTCGAGGTGCCTGATGGCGCTAGGCATTCTATGCTCTCATATTTTTTCTGCAAATCCTCCCTTCGTCATTTTGCATTCGTTGATTTACGTCATCGCCATTTAACTACGCGTTTTCAATGTGAATTCTTCCAGAAATGATGAACAGAGCTTCCGTTTTGATAAATAGCAGCAAGCGATTGTTGAATTGCCTTGAACAACGAATTATTCACTCCGATCCAACACCAGCCGGTCCTATTGTCTATGCTGAAAATAATGCTCAAGAAGCTATAGATGAAGCTAACGAAAAATACAGACAAACCGGCCAAAATGTTGGAGAAAAGATGCAGAAGGGTTATGAAAAGGTTGGCGTTATTTGAAAACTATCCTTATCGTCTATTTTATATTTCTAACACGCATTCACTCATCTATTTTTAGTTAACTGAAGAGAACAAAGATCGAGAGAATGTCAAAGGAGTGTCGGACTATGGCAACGATGACGTTAGTTTCTTTGCAGATTTTATGAAAATTTTGAATTCATGTACATATTTAAGTACATTTAGCATATCCTATCAAATTATAGGTTAGCCAAACTGGAAAAACACAATCGGGCGAATTCCTAACCCGTAGCACTGATGTTGAGAAGGGAGCTCATCAACAGGATAAGGTGAGCGAAGTACACGAGAGCTATTGTGATTTAGAAACTCTATTTCGTCAAGTTTTAGAAAAATGCGCAGGACTCCACTGCACGAGAGATTAAGGATGCCGATGAGCTAAAGCGGGAGAAGGTAATGTTTATCGTTTTTGCGTAAAAATAGGTTATTGAATAGAAACATTGCAGGGCAAAGTCTCTAAGGTCGATGAAAGAACTGGGGATACTTCGGAAGCTATAAAACCGATAAAGTAGAGGATTATCAGTGTGATTGTTAAATTTCTATGTATATTTGTCAGACAAAGGTTTGTTGTGGTTGCTTGAGAGCCAGAACTGCTCATTGTACATATTTTATAGAAGTAATAATCTTGAATAAAGTTTTATAAAAAGAATTGAGTTTGTTTGTGAATTTTATTTGGATTTAGTTGTTCACTTGCTTGGAATACAGCGCCACAATGAATGCACGTACAAGAGATAGTAGTAGCTTTCTCTGCATAGTGCAAAAATACTGGCAGATTTATTTTCTAAAAAAACCTTTCTTTAAAACAGTTCTTTCTTTGCTGTAGAGTATAAAGATTGCTGTTTGGACCCAGTCGCTTGCTTTCTTTGGAAAATAAATCGTTTGTCTGGCTAGCCTTAAACTTTGTTCTTTTACAATAACATTTAT